GAAGTGCCGAGGGCTGCCTGAAGGATGGCTATTAGGACCGCCGGGAATAGGCCTTTATGTACTCCTCTATATCTCCCCAGCGCCTCTTCGCAAAGCGGGTGCGGTGTACTGCGGTGTACTGCGGTGTTTCGCGCACCTATGTGTATGGAAGGTAGCCTCGGCACGCCCTCTTCCCGTGGTCCCACGCATCTCCGCGCGCGTGAACTCCGTCTTCTTGTTTTGGTAGTGCCTTTTCTTCTCTCCCCTTACGTCTGACACTCTTTGTGTCTGACTCGGCCAGCCAGCTCTCTTTAATGTCGTGCGGGATTCTTCTCCTACTACCTAACCATTGTATCTTAGGGCCCACCCTTCGACTCCAGCAGCAGTTCACTCGCGCCTGATTCATTCCTCTTTCCAGGAACCACCATTCTAACGAGACATTACTGGCCTCCGCGCAGATGCACGCTTCGTTGCTGGTACTTGAAGGAGACCCATTCCTCTAATCCAGCTAGAAGCCCGTACATGCGTAGCCCATTCTAATTTAGCATTTTCGCGAAAACCGTATTTCTCTCGTCGCTGCCTTTCCTCCCTTAAACTGCGCTCGCTGGTTTGCACCTGCAGGTGTTCTGCTCCTTCTCTGCTGTGATGGAGATTACAACGACACCCTCGGCTCGCCGTCGGAGTTCGCGCTACGACTAGGGCCCTCACTTGTTTCGCTTCTTGCAATGAGACGACCTCTCGGGACCAATTCCCGGGCTCGCGGACTCGAGAGTTTGGTTTGTCTGGCAGTGCAAAAGACGAGACAAGCCGAGAGCGTAGCTAATTCGAAGTCGAGTCAGAGGAGCTGAGCTTTGTGTAATATGACAAAGACACTAAGAAAAAAAAAACAGAAGAAGGATGGCAGTTTTTTTTTTCGAGCCCCTAAGGAAAACATTTGCCTGACTGCTGCTACAAATGGGTCAGCCCAGAAATCAGTGCGAGGAAAACACTCAAGTGAGGCATAAAGAAACCGCACGCATACAAAATGGCTATGTACGGTGCGGAAGAGAAGTAGTGAGACAACGAATGCTCATAATGTTCTAGGACCTCCTTGCGTTCTCCGGCAGTTGAATGATGATGTCAGACTGGTCGCAATGTTTTTTTTTCCCTCAGCAGCTCGATTCATGAAAACTAGAGAGCAGTTCAAGACTCTGTAGGGGCAATACAAAATGCTGGAAAAGCAAAGCAGAAAATATAAAGTAACAGTATAACAGTAACAGTAGCGGAGGAGTAAACACAACAGTAAGAAGTATAATGGCTGTGTGACATCATCTTTCTCCTTTCCCGGTCGCGCTGCGCTGTGTCACTATGGATGCCATGTATGACCCATCTCTCATTTTGTATTGTGCCTGCTTGCCTAGGAATCACTTGAAGCTTTTGTACTCAAAATAGACTCATTATTTTAAATCTTAAAGCCTGCAGCCACAGATGGGCTGTCCTGAAATAGTTGAATGTGCCACCGGCGTCATGGTGGTTGCTTCATTTTCATTCCTTTCTTATTCTGTTTCTATCGTGAACCTTAAAAGAAGTTTTTACCACCATTAAGCTTTAAGCGCGGACTTCGTTCGAAGGAGAAGCCATTCAATGAAGTCCTCATTAGCTAACAATTTCCTGCACGCAGTTGAAGGGCACTTTTTTGCTTGCTTTGGTTTTGCGTACAGGTTCATTGTACACCTTCCTCATACACGACATATGAGCACCGTCTATCCTATCAAAAGTTTGCAAGTGTCGTTTGGCTAAGCCGTGACGCTCGAGTCGTTCATCGCAGAAAACACGCGCACTCATGCACGGGCCACCTTGTTATACTCGGCGACAACTTTCTGTGGGAGCACAACCAAAGCTACGACGCCCAGGCACGCCTTTTTTTTTTTTTACTACGCTTCTGCATGTAGTCCACGAACGCTAACTTTTGTATACTGCATAGTAATTAGAAAATATAAACAGAAAAGGATGCAACTATTATGTTCTAGATTGTTCGCAATATTATTAGAAAGGATCACCCGTGTAGACTTTTCGTTCTTTGCTGTTTCTAGTTTTCTGGTTTTCTGGTGCCATTTCACATTTTCCCTGCCACGGTAAACAACGATGGCGTCGCTCGGTTGCAGCAAGTTCACATCGAAGCCTGTGAGCGAGCATGATAGCATGTTCATTAGGTGACCTGTATTCATCGAGCAGGAAGAAACGAAGACAGTGGTGCGTCGTAAAGTATTTTGTTTTCCGCATATGCGATTGCATAGAATTCGAGTGATATCATCAGCGGAAGTGGGACTTTAATCACTATAGCCACCTTGAAAGTGACACAAACAACCTGCCAGCCCTAATTAAAACCAACTCCTTGGAAGAAAAAAAGAGCAATTGGAAACTGTACGTAAAACCAATATTCCTTTTCCTGAATTGCGTTGCATATGTGGTCAGTGTTTCGGCTGTCTAATATTCTTGATACGATAACGCACAAAATCGCGTACCGTAACACCGCCCATGTAGGGGTCTATGAAGGGAGACGTTCCTTGCGCTTTGCCCGGGTAACAGACGCGCTCATGTATATTAACCCTGTTCACTGTGCGAAAACAGCGTTCTTGGCTGAGTAAAGATAGCGTTTCACCCACTTGTATTTACGAACGTCAGACGTTCGCTCATAACCAATCGGTGTCAAGCTTAAAGGCCAAACCTCATAAGCGCGAAAATGCACGCGACAGCGACAAGCGACGCGACGTAGATCGGCTTCGCGCGATCAGTCGCTAGCGCAGACAAACCTCATTCACGCGACGGCTTCGGCGAGCGAATTCCACTGTTGCTGGCATGAGGCCGTCTACTCGCACCAAGAAAACCGCGTAGCGAGCGGTATGCAATTTAAAAATAAGATATATTGCTGTGTAATAAAACGGAAAGTATTTATTATTGCCTTACAGCACTTTTTATATGCACATGCGTAATAAACACTGCGTTATTTCTTGTTGCGCATACGTGACTTGGGCAGGGTCACGTGCACCTATGCAGTCTTTGTCTTTCCCGGTATTTCGCTATTGGCTGCTTGAGCCCAGCACTTCCGGGCGATGAGCGACGGTTTCCAAATCTGGAGAACCGAGCGATCGCGCGAAAACGAGCACGCGACACGTCGCGCGAACGCCCTGTTTCGTCGCTCATAGCATCGCTCGTCGCTGTCGCGTGCATTTTCGCGCTTATGAGGTTTGGCCCTTATTCTTTGCACCGTTGCCTTCGCGTCCCCTAAAAAAATAACGAGAGCGTCTGCAGAAAGTCCTTGCCTCTTTAAAAGAAGGAAAACAATGATGACAACCCTGTAATCACAGAAATTTAGGAAATAGATTCTTGGCTTTGCGTTGTTCTGATCACCCGTACGTTTTTTTTTTTTCTGAAATAAATCTGAATGCTTAAGAGAATCTTCGTGTTCTTTTCCTTAAAAAAAATGAACATTTTATTTGTTTTCTCCCAAATAATTGTAAGAGTTATTGCATAGTGGTCGTGAAAAAATGCACATGTTGGATGTGCTTGCGAAACCAAAACTGAAATTGCACGAAAACGGACTACATGGTGTAGTAACACACGTGCAGAAGCTCCGCCCCCGTGGCTTTGGATGTGCTGTCACAGAAAGTCGTCGCCGAGCATTGTTGCCGTGGTTTGATTACCTGAACACAGAGAGAAGATTTATTGTCTAGGTTGACTCCTGAGTCCAGGGTGTCGGTGCTTAGTGTCCGGCCCCGTGGAGCTTCAGCTGACTTCTGTATTGCTCTTGGCGCGTGTTACACGAGTGACTTTTAACAACATCGATGCGGGGTTGGCTTCCCATTTGGTCGTGGGTTTCTGGTTCACTGTGGTGCATTCGCAGTTGAGTTCTTGTGTTCAGGACCACGCACTTTAGAGTAAGTAAGCTCTATGACCACAGTGTAGGTGTACGTGTAGTTGCAGCGTAAGTACTCTGGTACGGCTTGCATAGAATTACGAACAACCAGAAGTGTTTTTTGTGTGGAGCTGATCGACGGAATAACGCCCCCCCCCCCCCCCCCCCCCCGTAAAACCCATACTTCTCCACCACAGTGATGGAGACTGATGCGTACCACCTGACAGGGGCACGTCCAGGCTTACAATCGGTATGCCCCCGCCTCCTAGCGCAAGCTGGCCTCCGCTATAGCATCACAATTAGCGGCGGCCGCTGGGTACGGGTCAACACATTCCCCAGAACTCTGCTTCAATACGGACACAACACGGGATTTACAACACACTTATAATACGCATATGTATGCACATAGCCTAACGAAACTAACAGACAGTGAAGTCAAGGAAAGTGTAAGGGACATTATTTGTAGCTTTAACACTAAAGAAATAATGTCCCCTGCATTTTTGCTCAATTGGCATCATTACCTTTGGTTTCATTAGGTAATGTGAAACTAAGAAACCAGCCGATACCTCAGTCCCTTCTTTCGTAACTGTATACACATAGACAAAACACATATACATATAAACTTGAGGAAACCCGGAACGTTGACTCAATAAATGGTTGAAATTCCGGTCGGTCTGAATCGCGAGTTTGCTTTGAGTGTCGTTCCTGCCGCCTTGTTCTAATGTTAGCCTCGAGCTGCTTCCTGTCTCCAAACCTTGGCCTCCGAGAACATTTGCTACGAGCTCCTGCGTAACTTCTCTCACCAGCCCGGTGGCGTCTACGCCGACCGCGTACTGCAGCGACACAACAGGGAATTTCCTAACGCTTTGTTGCGTAAAGCCCTGCTCGAATCGCGCCGCACGTGGACGAGGGCGGCAGCCTCGTGCTCAGGTGTGAGAGCAGAACGAAGAAGAAGAAGCTTTCACGGTGGCCACGTTGGATTGCTTCGATTCATGACTGATTGTCCGTAGTGCATTTGTCCATTTCGCCTGGGCCCAACGAACCATCGCGTCGATGTGTGCCTGCACTTCGGTCTCTCTGTGCCGCAACCTCGGTAGCGAGACTTCTACTACTGGCGTCACTGGTGATGAACCCTCCGACCGCAGCCCAAGGAGCCATAGGCGTCACGGCGCCGTCTGAAGGCGGTGGCCGCAGTTCTGACGCGGACGAGGACGTGCTTGACGGGGTCGTAGGTTCTCAAAGTGAGCGTGCCCTGTCCCCGATCGACAAGGCCAAGGCCATGCGCATCATACCAGACCTGATACGCCGCCTGCCCAACGACTCGCTCGCTGTCACCTACATTGGAGGCGTGAAGGTGACGTACTTGTGAAGCACTGCGATCAGATATCAACTGTTCAACTACCACACGTTTCGTTAAAAGTTTAAGTATTAGTTTGCCACTGCTTAAGTATGTTGGACCATGGCGCAAAACACATTTCGTGGAATCGGGGGCGTAAAACAGAAGTGAAGCGCCATGATTGTGCCAGTCACCCACTGTTTTTTTAGAAATGCGCTTTTTTGATAACATGTTATCTTGAGCATGTCGAACACGCAATGCCCAGGATCGTTACGCCAGCGTGAAAAATGTATATTATGTACGTTTCTGGGAGTGTCACCAAATAGTTAACGCTTAACGTTCTGCCATCTTATATCCCCACTTTCATGAAATGTATTTGGCAGTACTTCCAAGCCTACCTAAACAGATACCTAAACAGCCCTAAACAATCTACCTAAACAGCCCTAAAAGAGGTCCTTTTGGACATCAATTTGCTAGTACGCAGGTATGCTCTAACATAGGCAAATCAGCATATACCTGAAAGAGAGTTGCATCTTGATTTAATTCGTCACGGTTACTATATTTGACATGATGAAACCTACCTCACCCTTTTCATGAACGGCGATTTTGGAAATACGAGAATATGTGCATCAAGCAGCGGCCTGTAATGCTATGAGCAGGTAATTTTTTTCGAAAAATTTCCCTTCGAGTGCGCTTTTTTTTCTGCTTTGTTCAAACGCGACGTCCGACATACATACATACATACATACATACATACATACATACATACATACATACATACATACATACATACATACATACATACATACATACATACATACATACATACATACATACATACATACATACATACATACATACATACATACATACTGTGATGACGTTTATTCGAGCCGAGAAGTCGCAGCGAGGTCGCAACGGAAAGTGGGCGTACGGCAAGTCTGGCAGAGGCGGCACAAACTCTCGCGCAAGCAGAGCACGGGCTTTTTGTTGTCTTCCGAAGGCGCATACGCGTTGGTGCGTATGCTCCACTACAATACCCCCGGGATGAAGGGTAGCCATCCTGGCGACTCAGGGAGTAGGCACAATGATGGGGTCGTAGTAGGGCTTGAGACGGTCGACGTGTACGGTCTCGCGTCCTCGACGGCGCAAATCTGGTGATTGTGTTAACGGCTCGATGATGTAATTCACCGGGGAGGTCGCGTCAATGATACGGTACGGACCATGGTACCGGGCCAGAAGTTTGGAAGATAGGCCAGGAACGTGCGGGGGCACCCAAAGCCACACAAGGGAGCCAGCACGAAATGTAGGAGCTATGCGGTGAGCGTCGTCGTGTCGAGTCTTTTGTAGACCTTGAGCCTCACTAGTCAGAGACCGAGCCAACTGACGGCAGTCTTCAGCGTATCTGGCGACTTCCGAAAGCGGGGAGCACTCAGATGCATCAGGGCGGTACGGTAGTATAGTGTCAAGGGGGTGGGAAGGTTCGCGGCCGTACAATAGAAAGAACGGAGAAAAACCGGTAGTCGCTTGCGTCGCGGTGTTATAAGCGAATCACATCATAACGTCAGAGGTCAAAATTTTGACAAAACCATGAATTGCTCAGTGACGTGACGCCACGTGATGACGTCATCACATCGTCGCTTGGTCAAACGTGAGCTGATCACGGAGGCTATGTGAAAGAAGCAGAGGTGCAGAAAGCTTTCGGAAAAAGGCTGGCGAGTATCATTATATCGACCAAGAAGAGAAAGAAGACGGCTGTCTTAGTTGAACGTATACGGGACCCTCTGAGTTTCTACTAATACCTAGAGTTCAGATTTACGCCCTTCTGACCAAATAGGTAAACTTTCCCGACATTCTAGAGTGACAGCCAACCTAATCTTCCAGGTCGACATGGGCAACGAGCTGGAGCCGCAGACCGCAGCGGAACCACCGCGCGTTGTGATACTAGGTCAACGCGGCCATTTCTACACGCTCTGCATGGTCGACCTGGACGCCCCGTCGGCGTCAAAACCGAAGCACCGCGCCTGGCTGCACTGGCTCGTCGTCAACATACCGGCGCTGGAGGTAGAGTGACTCGCTCATACATAGTCTCTTTCAATGAAACAAACAAAGAAAGAAACAAACAAACAAGGAGACAGTTTCAGCGGTTCGTATTAGTATCGCACTTTCTCGAACATAAGTTTTCTTCCCGATTTTCGCTAGCTATACTAGACCCTCGCATTGCAGTCGAATATTAAAATAAGTATTCTTTGTTACAGGACGCAATAAAAAATCACCCCTCATTTCATAACCGTGATGGCACTACAATCACGTAAATACAGTAACTTGAACGTAGCGCAAAACCACGCACAGACCAAACAGTGCTGTGTGCTTTCTCGCGTCCATGCGTCATTTCCGGCTACACTTAAGTTATTCAGATCAATCACCAACAAGCCCAACTGCAACGCATCTCATGTAAGCTATATTGCGCACGAGCAAAATTTCACGTTTGTCAAGGTGCCGCATCAGCCAAGGAACTCACAATAAAAAAGTGGTTCTACGAGCATGGGTACACATCCTAAATAATATTTTTGGTGGTTTTATGTCTCTGAACCCCAATATAGTTATGAGAGGGGCCGTAGGGAAGAGCTTTCGATTTTTTGACCGATTAGTGTTCCTTACCGCGCACCTAAGTTTAAGTGCTGGTGCCTTTAGCATTTCAACTTTGCCGAAATGTGGCCGCCGTGGCCAGGATTAAATTCCGTGACCTTCAGTTCAGCGTCAAGCGCCATAATGATTTTACCACCGCAGTGGATACACGTATTAAAACGACAGCCCCAATAAGAAACGTGTTTGCGCCAGTAAAGCTCCTAAGAACGAAAGCTATCACATGTACATCTAACATATCGTTTTTAAATGCATCTGAACAATCAGAAAGATATTTTGCGTCAGAATGACTGTGCACGCGTCATCACGTATTAACATGAACGTAAATTGGCGCCTGGCTTCACAAGAGACGTCTTGAGCTAGGCATGTTCTTCACACAAAAACTATCGATCGTCTCAGTGCGCCGGATGTCTTATTACTGAAACCGGGTGACTAACGCCTAACTATCCCTTGCGAATAGAAAATCTTGCAAATTCACAAAGCTCCCATACACTGGCATTTTTGTCGTCAAGTACAACGTAAGTCAGTCAAGACGCTGCAATTTATCAATCATCCCGGCTGAAGTACCAGCTTTACGCAGAGAACCGGGTGAAAAGCGTGCAGTCTAGTGGCTATATCTAGGACTTCACGCAAGACACAATTTTGAGTGCATTAGTAGCATGGCACTCGTAATTGAAGAAAAGGCTTAACACTTATCCGATAGAGTACACACAAACGCGCCTTGTGATGCGCGAAGACTCAAACGCTGATAATCTCATAAATATCAGTTGCTGTCAGAAGGGGCAAATGCAACAGTCTGACAATACGGCTGCATTTTCATGTGCAGTGCTACTCAGGTGCTTCACTGTATCATTCGAGTTCCATACATTATTTACAACATTGAACCGTGGCACTGTAATGGTTCAGCCCCCATGGAAATGTTTTGTGGTACAAGAATTTGGCTCTTCGAACTTGCAACTTACAACACACTCGTGGCTTTTCGTATTGTTCTGTTTGTTTTTATAAAAAAACACGGCGTGAACATCGCAAGCTCTTTCTAAAAAGTTAGGGGGATGAATTTGGACTCCAAAAACAAAAGATTGTGGAAGACCTAGCACTAGAAGAAAAAAAAAGGGGGGGGGGGGGACACACAAACAACTCGTTCTTTTTATACCGCTCTCTCTTTCGCGCTGTTTTGTTTTGTTTTCCGAGATGTCGTACCAACACGCCCAACCACCTACTTTGGGAGTGCTGAACAATATCTAAACTTTATCTTGCAAAAAGCGGCTGCAGGTCATAGGGAGTGAAAAGAACGAAGCTTAAGCAAAAACCACGAAGCATCTTTCATTTCCTTGCTGGCGGAAACGCCATGCGCTGCAAATCCTATATAGACACTAGCGCCAGATTTTCCTCTAGTGTTGTGTTGTGAGACTCCTGAAGGCAACCTACTACGCCGATCAACCCACCGCGGTGTTCTATTGATTATGGTGCCTCGATTGCTGACTCAAAGGTGGCGAGTTTGGCTCCCAGCCGCACTTCTATATTCAGCTGCAGTGAAACTGTCGAAAGCTTTAGATAGAATAGACAATCGCCAATTGTCGGAAGAAAGGGTATTAGGACACTGGCCGAGACCGTCCTCTGCTCGCAAGGCATTGAGAGCGTTGTTGCGCTTTCTGCGGGCAAGTGGTCTTAGAGACAGACTGTAAGCAGCGTCATGGATCATCTGATGACCTTCTCTCTCTCTTTTTTACAACGTCTCTTTTCTCTCATCTTTTATCCCCTTTACCCCATTCCCCAGTGCAGGGTAGCCAGCCGGTCTGAGAACTGGCTAACCTCCCTGTCCTTCCTCTTTCATTTCTCCTCCTTCTCCTCCTCCTCCTCCTCCTCCTCCTCAGCTGCAGTGCTTTAGGCACGTGTGCTTACATTCATGCACACGTTAAAGAACCCCCGACGGTTCGAAATTCCTGGAGCCCTCCACTACGGCGTCTCTGATAAACATATCATCGTTTAAAGACATCAAATCACAACGATGATTATTTTACTACTACGCCGCCCCCCTCAAGCAAGCCCCAGACCTCTCAATAAAACTAAGTGCAGGCGATCCGGTCCAGATGTATAGCATATGACCTGTACGAGTTGCTCCAACTAATATCAATAGTCGGACGCCTTCACCCAATCAGGACCTAACTTTGCAGTCTATAGAGTTTGTACTGCAAATACTTCGGATACACCTGCCTGAGCTAATAGCTCCCCAGCCTCTGCATATTTCATTTCACTGTTCAGTGATTCTTCCTAATATTTTGTCTCGCAACAATGACCATTCCGAAATTATGGAAGCATGGCGCACTAGGTCGATTCGTAATGTTTTGTTTGTACCTGAGCGTCAAGTGCTCTCTTTCTGTCTTTATTTATTTTTTAATCCGTACAACTAACGCATCATCCGGAGCTCAATTGTGCAGAAGCTCAAACGAAGGTGTCGTTAACCTGTCTGGCCCCGTCAAGTAGTTGGTAATATATAATTTCGGTGAGAGACGTTTTCTTTTGATTTGTTGAATCTTTAACTATACTGAGACCGGGTTGCTTGAACCTCGATGTATGAATTCCATGACCTCTATTTAATATGCCCGGGCAAGATCACAATTTTTACTCTTTGGTGCTCACACTGCTATTCAAACGCTGAGCTACACTCCTAAAAACAAAAAGAGGTCAACACACTATTTTATGCAACTTATTGAGACACATTCACTCCAGTTTGGAGAGTCGTGCTTTCTATTACTTTCTCAAAAAGAGTCTTCATGTCTCTTTGAAGAGAGTTATATATGCGAGAGTCAAATACGCGGATAAGCAAAGTCAAGCACGCCTTTCTTTTATTCTTGAGTGTACAGCTTGTAGCTAACGATATCGCCCACTTCTGACATTTTCGCATCTCACGCCTCAAAGAAAACATAATAAATCTACGCGACCACGTCACTTCAACGTCAACGGGCGCTCAAATCGCATCTCCGGCTCGTGGCCCTTGATGCGATTTAATCTAGTAAGCCGAGTAAGGAAGGCGTCGACGGCGTTTGAGAAGGTGAAAATGGAATTGCCGATCTCCTAAATGCAGTTACGGGAGCTGCCTGAGGGCCAATTCGGCCTAATCGGATAACGAAATGCCGGAAAACAGCCTCTCGAAGCTTATGCGCGCGAAAGGTGGGCACGCGAAGAGAACAAAAATGTGACAGATTCTTAATCCTTTTTATCGCTCGCAGGTGCTTACCTGTGACATTTAACGTCGAGCGTAGCGCTCATATAAAGAAACGAGTGATCTGCAGTACAGTAGTAGATAGAACGAAAGAGGTATGGACTTCAGCGAATGCGGAATTTTACACCTGAGAACTTGCGAGATAGCTTTCATGCTCATCTTGGGCACGTTAAATATTGTTTGGTGTGAATTTAGTACTTGGTTCGGGGTTATATATAGAACCGCTTGGTCTTGCTTAGACAGACACAAAGATAGCTCTTGCATTCATTTCAGATCGCTCCGTAGTGAGAGAGACATTTGATAGTCTCGAACTCAGTGCACTTATTACATGACTATAGCCTCACATTTCACGTGGCATATATTTCACTGTTTTAGATATGAAATTTCGGTCGGAATGCGGCACTCGTGCGCGTCTCCTATGTTTTATTCCTGTTTTGCAGCCTTTGGGATGCATCTAGATGCCTCGCCGATTCACCCAAGCAACCATACATAACAATACTGAGGGCACTACGAAAACTGAGGATACTTTTTCCACGCCGTCCCTGATTTGATTGATATGAGGGGTTTAACGTCCCAAAACCACCATACGATTATGAGATACGCCGTACTGGAGGATTCCGCAAATTTCGACCACCCGGTGTTCTTTAACGTGCACCCAAATCTGAGCACACGAGCCTTCAACATTTCCGCCTCCATCAGAAATGCAGCCGCGGCAGCCGGGATCCGAACCCACAACCTGCGGGTCGGCAGCCGAGTACCTTAGCCACTAGACCACCGTGGTGGAGCTAGTACTGTTCAATGTGAAGTACAAACTAGTTCAAACGTTCACGCTGCCGAGCAACTGTTTTTCATGTACATAGTCACTAATGATAGAACTCGCCTTCCGTTGCAACACTGATTCGGCAGTAGGATTGACTAAAGAAACTGAGCTATCACTGACACGCAAGTCACCACGTGACGGCAATAGCCCAGTTGTTCAATCCGCGCTTGACACTGAGACCCGAATAAGAAAGCATGGTTAGCGCTCGTGCAGGCACTACGGAAGGAGCCATCAATTGGCATACTGCCGGGAGTGCGGAGGATTGGGCTGTCGCAGGTTTTACGTGACCACATTAAGAAGCACGCGAACCGGGGTTGGACATTAAATTTAAGGAAGTTTAGCATAGTGATGGATTGTGTCAGTGTTGCTGGCTGTTTATTATTGGATCTTGTATTTCGTAGTATGGGATGGCATTCATTTCATTTCATTTCATTTTATTACCTTAAGGACCCCATTGAAGGGGTATTACATAAGGGGTGGGACCATGGACCTCAAGGCAGGTGGTGTGCAGTAGCGGAGACCGACTGTCGGCGGCACAACGCACATCGTAATGGCTAAAATTTATACAATGAAATGTTAGCGTCTGCTTTTAGAGCCTGTAGCTGGCGCAATAAATTCAACATCGACACCGTGTATCAATATAAGCGCAGTAAAATATAAACGAAAAAAAAGAGTCGACATTTTTGCAGCTATAATGTGAGACGCCCGTTTCAGTATTTACGCCATTGCGCAATGACCTGTAATAATGTGGCGGAAGAGAGCATGACAACGGCACAGTGGAATAAAAAAAAAACCCTGCCGCAAAGCTATTCGCTTCGTTATCTCGTATTTTGAGCAGTTCCGCCATAATGCTCATGAACCAACTAGCCCACCTAAATACCCATGAAATAAGTTCGGAACCAAAATAACTACACATGATTTGTGGGGTTTAGCGTCCCGAAACCACCATATGATTATGAGAGACGCCGTAGTGAAGGGATCCGGAAATTTCGACCACCTGGGGTTCTTTAACGTGCACCCAAATCCGAGCACACGGGCCTACAACAGTTCCGCCTCCATCGGAAATGCAGACGCCGCAGACAGGATTCGATCCCGCGACCTGCGGGTCAGCAGCCGAGTACCTTAGCCACTAGACCACCGCGGCGGGGCCAAAATAACTATACAACTACTCATTTTGGGTGATTATATTTACAATTTGCAGCTGGACGCCGGGCAGGTGTTGGCGGCGTACAGCGCGCCGACGCCAGTGGCGGGTACCGGTTCGCACCGGTTTGCGTTCGTCCAGATGGAACAGCCGCACCACTTCAAGCCGGGAAACTTCATCTTCATACCGATGCGGGCCGCCTTCAACGTGGCGACCTTTATGATCGACAACGGCATTCGAAATATTACGGCATTCAACTTTTTCCGCATCGACTCGGACTTCAGGAGTGTGCTGTGAAACGCGCCGCTATTCCGGCGATAGCGGCAACCGGTGCCCTGTCGGGCTTTCTTCCTAACCGCGGAACAATCGCAATTGAGTATCGCAGCTCTCAACTACAACATAAATGTATGGCACTGTCATTAATGTTGGGGTAATTGTACGCTGCAAGGCTCAGCGTTGGTACGAACGCTGACCCAGGCAGCGTGTCTTGCTGATTTATTGTTCTTAGCGAAGTAACTGTCTATACAATGACCAATTCCATTATACATAGAGACAGTAGGATTGGACGTGTTGGTATAACATGATGAAGAGTGTTTAACAGTGCAAACGACAGGAGGGGATATAAGAAACGAGACTGTCTTGTCTCTTCTGTCTTCAGCACTTTTTGACATATGTAGAAAACACAGTAGTTGTGAGTTTGCGCATCACCTCTATAGTGAGACGCTGTTATTCCGTGTCTTATAAAGGTATACGCAGGCATCGAGTCACAGCGCCACGTATCGAGAAGTAGTGTCCATGACATCACTATGCGACACTAGCGTATGTTACCTCAAATTTGCCGTGCTGAATTCATGAGAATCTATTAGCGAATCGCATTTTCTGCGCGACTAAGTAAGCAGCCTCCAGGTCCGAAGGCACGGCGTAAGCTTTAGATGTCAGATGAAAGCGTACGCGTAATATGAAGGTCGTTCCGGGACAACACAGGCGCGAAGCGTATATGCGAGTAGGGCAACACCTGGGAATCGAAGAGACGTAGAACAGTGTACTGGCCGAGCTGGCATGTATGCATGACGAGACTGAGCACGTGGCAAACAGAACACTGAGATGTAGAAACAGTACAGGCACACACAGAAAACGAATAAGCCGTCCCGGGCTTACCAAACGTGGGACAGCAGTATTCGATATGTGTTACGTGTCCCATGTCCTGATAGAGAGTTGTTACCTGTCCTAAGGCTGCATGCAATCACGCAAAACAATTAGTGGCGTTGAGGATCTCACTGTTAGGGCCTGCATGTCAGGTTAGTTGAATTACCAGAATAGAGCAGTGGCACGCAACAGTTTAAGGATACACATAAAATTAGTTTTAAGGCATGGAAAACGGGCAGACTATCGGAGAGACTGTCACGTGGTTATCTTGAAGCCTATAGTGATAACAAAAAAACTTAAGGAATTAATGCCGTCATGGTCATGGGACACCCAAACCCTACTATTTATTGATCGGCTTGCTTTGGTTGTGAATCTTGCAAATGCTACCCAGGAATTACCGCACACTGATTGATTGATATGTGGGGTTTTTAACGTCCCAAAACCACTATATGATTACTAGAAGAGACGCCGTAGTGGAAGGCTCCGGAAATTTCGACCACCTGGGGTTCTCTGACGTGCACCCAAATTTGAGCACACGGGCCTACAACATTTTAGTCGCCATCGGAAATGCAGCCGCCGCAGCCGGGATTCGATCCCGCGACCTGTGGGTCAGCAGCCGAGTACCTTAACCACTGGACCACCGTGGCGGGGCTACCACGCACCGATCAGGAGGCGCTTACTCCTATGTTTATTTTCGTTTCCCTAATGTTTAAAAGCAGAGAAAGTGTAAATTTCGTTCATTTTCTCATTAACTACTTCTCAGCATCACTGAAGGTAACATCGTCTCTCTCTTTTTCTTTATTTGTATTCATGCTATGCCCTACCCACAGACCAACTTCCCACTTACTCCTGTCTCCCATCCTCTATTAGCCACTGCTGTGACTTCTCTCTTTTTTCACTGGTTCACTCACTCTTTCGCTAAAGCACCCCGCGCTATTGTTCATAACCTCTTTCGTTCAAGCGCCCGTGGCCCGGGCCCTGCACGATCATCGAGAACAGCCGTCGCGGCAACCGCATACGTCACTTGCACGAAGGAGCTGGCGCCTTGCATCTGGCGCCACTCGCTTTGCTATAGAAGGAAACAGGCGAAGGAAGTGCAGAGTGGTTCAAGGCACACTGTAATGAAAAACACTAAATTCCTTTGGGCTGATTGATCATTTCTACATTCTCTCCAATTTTCTGATCATATATGCTCGTGTTAAAAGAAAAAAAAAAGTGAAGACTAGAGCTTGATTTCCGATTGTCGCGCGTTGGGGGTGCCTGCACATTGATGTCCGCGTATCCGCAGTGGTGGTCTAGAAGTTACGGTTCTCGTTTGTTGAACCAAACGTCACGGGGTCGAATCCCGACCGCGGCGGCTGCATTCCGATGGAGCGAAAATGCTAGAAAACCGTGTGCTTATCTTTAGCTCTGCTTCAGTAAAGAGCCGCAGGTGGACTAAATTTCCGGAGCACTCTACCGTGGTGTCTTCATAATCAATCGGGGCTTTCGACGTAAAACTTGAGCAAATATTTTACTATAGCATTAATGTCAATGTGACGTCGTGGTTTCCAGTTTCTCTCTTTTTGTAACATTTGTGCAATATTATGTCAGTAAAATTTGATCGGTCGCGTAATTATATCTCTCACTCCTTTAAAACACAGCGCGTAATTCATTTTTATCGATAAAGATTGTACAAATGAGTGGAAGCCGTCCAGATGTGTGACGTTGCGCATCAAGAATGTCAAGACGGTGTCGGTATGCCTGCACTTGTACATGCGTGTGTTTCATGTTTCCAGGCTTACTTACTAAGTGCCTTTTCGTGGAAAGAGCTGAGCCTTTTTAAATGGTGGAATGGTAGTTTACAAAAAAACGAGCAAAATGGTATCTTTTATATTTATCGACCCTTTAAACAAGATAAAATATGAAATGGTTCTTGAATGAAGAGTACGTTGCCGTTATCTTCTGCAATTATTTGGGGCCACCCCGAAATCCCACTGCCACGCGATTCATGGCTGATTTCCCGTGGTGAATTGGGCCATTCCTCTTGGGTCCAACCAACTAACGAAGTACAACAGCCGCAGGGACATTTTCTTTGCCACTGAATAGTTTGTTAAAGGCAAAAAGAAAGTCCAGGGAAATTTCGCCGTCTTTACACATTTATTAATGTTTCAAACCATTTTTATTCTTAACTATAGCGACTAGCGGTGTTACCTTATAAAAGTCAATGAAAAAAAAATCAGCCACTACCAGTCCAATTTATTGAGTTTGAGCCATCGTCCAGGGTCAACAACTAAAGCTCTTGCACGAGCACGCCTCAGCAACACAGGGAAGTTATCAGTACCATACCCTATACACAAAAGGGGACGACTGTGCTGCTTCCACACACACGTACAAACCATACACAGACGCAGACTTGTAACTAACCTTTATTTCACACAGTCCACATACAAGTACGTTTCAGAAAACATCACCGCCCATGCGCTTTTTAGAAAGGTATCATCTCAAAAATTCTTAGCAACCGTAAGACGTCATCCTAACAGCGCTCTTCAATAAACCTCCTCTCTGCGCTATGCAAAACCACAGGTGACCCACTGATGCTATCTTGATTGATTGATTGATTGATTGATATGTGGGGTTTAACGTCCCAAAACCACTATATGATTATGAGAGACGCCGTAGTGGAGGGCTCCGGAAATTTACACCACCTGGTTCTTTAACGTGCACCCAAATCTGAGTACACGGGCCTACAACATTTCCGCCTCCATCGGAAATGCAGCCGCCGCAGCCGGGATTCGAACCCGCGCCCTGCGGGTCAGCAGCCAAGTACCTTAGCCACTAGACCACCGTGGTGGGGCCACTGATGCTATCTTTGTGAAGGGGATCAGTCGCGAGCAGTTTGTAGAAGTGTCCGCTGATCCTTCCCGCTTGCGTCTCTGTTTGCGGGTGTGACTTTGTGTGCTGGCGTAAGACTTCGAGTGCACTCGGTGGGGCAGTGCAGACACGGCGAAGGAAACGAAATCAGCGAGCCCGCACTCCGACGCGGGAGTGTCGCTGGTGTGACGCTGTCTCGCTAGTCGGGCGTGCATTTTGGCCGCCCGCCTCATCGACCGGCACCCCAAAAACCGCCCGCGGCCTGAATGCGCGTTTCTCACGTGCGGGACTGAAGGGTAAAAAAGAGACAGAAACGAAGGGAATCGTGGCGTGGGTGGCGGGGGGGGGTCATCGTGTCTAGCTGACACGCGGACCATATGAAGCGCTCCACTGCTTCCAATCACACGAGCTCTCCGCTCGAGGCGTCGCATCTCGTTTCAAGTTCCTCTCCTTCGGCATCGGTGTGCTGCAACAACCGGGCGCCTGTCGTGCGACATTGCTTTTCGTTTTGTCCTTCATGCGCGGTTATTATTCTTTAAGGGTACAGGGGAAAGGGGAGACGTAAGGGTAAGGTGACATCTTTTCCAGCAAGGAATCGCGACAACGTCCGTCTCTTGATGTCCCTCTACGCGAACTTGTCACCCAGGCGCGTGCGTTTTATACGTTTTCTCTTTATTTCCTAAACTGCCTAAGCTGCTTTTCTTTTAACCGTCATTCCGTTGATGCTTTGCGGAAAGTGACACAGAAGCAATAACGAAAAGACAGTAGCGCAGTCACCGCTTTCTGACACTCAGTTACTCCTTTTTCTTAGAGCATAACCGGGAACCAACTTGCCCTGCAATGCACTTTCTCGAGCACTGTAGTCTATAACTTTGCCGCTGGAATACCTCTGTGCACACTTGTCATCACTCTCCCATTCTCTATTTAAAGTTTTATTTTGTATATCGTTCTGCCACACATTGCATTCGCATACATTGACGTCATGCAAAGCGGAGATGAGTGCTTGTCTGACGCACCCTACAGGGAAACATTTCTTGGCGTAGCCTTGGTGCTTGAGCTTGCACGCTCAAAGCTTGAATACATGACTGAGTCATGCCGGTGTCTTGACATTGTTTGACATATTGCGGCTATGATACATGACGCTCAACGAAATGTCGCTGCCGAGTTTAAAACGAAAATCGGTCAGCATTTATGCATCCGAACATTCATTCATAAATTTGATTGATTGATATGTGGGGTTTAACGTCCCAAAACCACTCTATGATTATGAGAGACGCTGTAGTGGAGGGCTCCGGAAA